AATTTAAAAAGAATTATCATGTCCCCTCTGCTTCCCCTTCTCCAACATGTTCATAAAGGTTCCAATAATACACCTAAAATAACATGAAGCACATCAGTGTGGGATTATTATCAACTATGAAAACTGAGAGGAAACTTCTCTTACTTCCCTAAATAGCCACACTGTTTTCTACCTCCTCTGGATCCAAGTATGTGTACGGCACTTCCAGAGTTTTGTTTCTCTCTTTGATTGCTGCACTCAACGCCGCCAGCTCCTTTTTAAAGTTCGCCATCATCTGCCGTGGAGTCTCCTCACTGAAGTGGTCCTCAGAGTACTGGCCAAGAGGTGCCTGATAAAATCAAGGACACTTAGTTTTTCTGCCACCGACATGCAAATGTTTGAAACATGTGGACTACTCGTGTAAACATATAGAGCCATGAAGAAGTCATGGAGTTGAATAGTATCATTTTACCTTATTTATATACAGGTTCATCGCGAGAAAAAAGAAAACCGTGAAAAACGGTTCATAAGACCTAATTCATTAGGTCTTTCATATATTATAAAGATAAATTACACCCAGAGTGATCTATTTCAACCATTTATTTCTGCTCATTTTGTGAATGGATTGAAGCTACAGAAAACCCAAGATGAAATTTATCATGAAAGGGACTCACTTTTAAATTACTTACTACTTTATTGAGATTAGCCTGTTGAAATGTTTCTGATAAAGCTTGACCATATGTTTGCAAAACACACTGAAGTGTGAACACTCACAAAGTCACTGGACTGCTGGCTGAGCAGCCACATGATGGCCATGCCCTGAACTGTGGTGTTGACGTCCGGCAGTGTTTTCAGCATCGTTTCTTCAGTCGCTTCCCCTTTTTTGGTGGGAGGTGGCAGTTGCAGGGAGATTGGAGTGTTTGGCATCCAGCTACCAAAGTCAAACTGCAGTACAGAAATGAGTATTGTAGTTTTGTTATTGACTTCTTTTGCTTGTGGAATTTCAAAATACAGCGTAATAGTTGTAATTATAGTTGTAGTTGTCTGGCAAAACATCAATTAAGCCATAAATTTAATTCATAATGCAAAACAAATTGAGTGTTTACAGGATTACAATTTCTGGTTCTGTTTTATCTATGCTGTAAAGTCTGTATTAAAGAAAACTATGTGATCTGAAGACCATGTTTGGTGAATTTGAATTATGTTCCAGCATTTGTAGCATCTTATGCAGTAGCAATTGATGACTATCACTTACTCTGAAATAACACAGCAAGCATTAATTCATGGACAAATAATACAAATCACATCTGAGCTTGTCCCAAACCCTGACCTGTCCACCGTTCACAGCAGCATGCTGGGCTGAGCCGGTGAAGATCACCATGGTGACAAACTTGATGAGCTCATCCACTGTGGTAAGTTTCTGAGGGATTCCTGAGAATTAGAAAAATAAACTTAACATTTAAAAGTTCGACATTTGATCAATTTTTAACTGTCCATCCCATCCCACCGATTGTCTATAACTGCTTGTTCATCTAGGTCTGTAAGTGGGTGAGGGTTGGTGCCTGTCTTCAGCAGTCTGTGCAACAGAGGGACACACAAGACAAACAACCATGCACACACTCTGAAATAGTCATAAGAGTCATAACTAGGGGTAATTTAGAGACTAAATAACCTGATAGTCAATTGACTTTTAGGAGGCAGCTGGAGTACCCAGAGAAGATCCATTCAGAAAACTTGCAATGTTCTGGGTTGAGGCCCAGAACATCCTTGCTGTCAGGCAACAGTGCTACCAGCAACACCACTTTGCAACCCACATGCTTCCATTATACAAATCTGTAATAAGTTTATCAAGCCGTATTATTTTCTTAAAGAGATACCTGGGCAAGGCTGGGAAAGGAATCCATGTTCAAAAATGTCCAGAATCCACTTTTGAAGTTCAGAGTCTTGCTGGACTTCAGCATCGGTCTTGTAGTAGTAGGTCAGGATACCCCGCACAAATCTTTCAGAGACACAGAAATATTTTGTAAAATACATTAAATACATACAGCCAGTAAGAGTGAAGTGTGTTTTTTCCAGGAAGATTATTGAATTTATGATACCTTTTTTCTTTTTTAATAATTTACATTTCTAATATTTTAAATATCACCGATGTTTTCTTAATACTACAAATTATTTGTATGAAAAAAATTACCATAAATAATACAGGACAACAGACAAGACAATTACCAGAGGAAGTTACCTGATTTATATTTGGGCTGATTTAAATTCAACGTGAGAAAGGATTGAAGAAAAAAAAAAAAAACTGAAATGCACTAAAATCTTTCTGGAATTTTTTAACAAAGCTTTATCTAACACCAGACATAACTCTGCCTTTATGTAGTGGCTGGAGAAGGTTTTTTTTTTTTGCTGATTCACAGTATAATCGTTGATATTGTTCTGTACAAACAGAATTGTACAGAACAATCATGTTTGTACAGGTCTTCCATTGTTTTGCAAGCCAAAATGGAAGGCTGTGGTTAGTATAAACAGTAAAGTATGAAAATAAGGCAGTCTGAAAAGCAGCTCAGACAAAAGGTAGAAAACAAAATACAACCCATTTTTTTCCTAACATATTTATACCCAATTCTAATAAGTAGAAGTGTGGATGTTTTGCATGATAAACCATCTGATGATTTGTCATTAAAGTAGCATAATGTAAGATGCAAAATGGAAGTAGCCTATCATACCTGTTGATAGTGTCCCACAGTCTGAGTGCATCATCTCTGTAGTAGAAGTTTGGTACGTCCTTCACTCCGCGCTCAGCAATGTCTTCTGGCACGCAGAGGGAGCTGTATGTTACTGAGGACAGCGATCTCCTCAGAATTGTGATCATACCCTCTCCTCCAGAAGCTGAAAACTAGAGAAAGGTAAAGTCAAAGTTGGAGACAAACATTGTCATTCAAAATGAAAGATAAAGACGTCCTGAGTAAAGTTTTTTGTTATACTTTGGTGAAAACACCCTCCTCAGATATGAGTCTGTTCCGAGCTAAGAAGTTGATCTGCAGAGTGTAGCGAGTGTGAGGTATGAGAAGCTGAAAAAAGAGAAAACAATGTTGGTTATAACACCAGTAACAGTTTGCAAATTAAAAAAAGGTTTCTGAATTACAATAATACAGGGTCAAAACTTAAGAATCAGTAAAATTAATCAATTAATAGATCAAGTTTTTTACATGTTGCATCATCATGGGAATCTGTCAGTGTCGGCATAAACACAGTGGAACCTGCAGCTTCAGTTACCTTGTGGAGAGGATGCACCATGGGCACGTTGCGCAACAGTGACACTGCAAAGACCTCAGCCAGCAGGTGAGTGCGCAGCAGGTGAACGTTGAGCTGATGCTCACTGAAATCTGCACTTCTGACAAAAATCTTTGCCATCAGCCAGTCGTACTCTGAATCAGATGGCAAGAAGATTGGATTGTCCTCTGCTGGTTTCTGCTTCAGCTACATCAGGGTTTAAATAAAGTGTAGGCATTTATTTGATTACAGGTCAATCATACAGATAAACAATGTTCCTGAAGTTGTTTTGCATTTTTTTCTGTTGACTCATTTTTTTTTTCTTGAGAACCTCAGTGAAGAGTTTGAACTTAATCCACATTGATAATCTGAAATCAGATTAAACAGAACAATAGTCAGACAGGCGTGTGTGTTTGAGGATATAACCCTTTGACAAATGAAAGCAAGAACAAACCAGACTCCTGGTTGAAGTGATAAACCTATAATCTTTGTGTTGTCTGACTTCCAAGCATGTTTTGGGTTCCAACCTCATCCTAATCAATGGTTGCTTGGTCTTTAGTGCCTGGTTCTTTGTTAAATGTTTTCCCAAAGTTTATATTATGTCCAACTGGTTCCTGTCAAACTTTAATTTTTTGGCTTGTACAAAAAAAGACATGTAATTGATTGTTTAATAATTTGTGTACTTTAATTACTGTATATGAGTGCTAATCTCACCTGAATAGCAATTGGCATGAGTTTATCATCTGGAGTTTTGTGGAGCAAGACAAGTGGAGCCATCAGGTACTGCTTCTCGTCATTAATGGTGTTTGTTTTCACTCCATCCATTTGCTTGTAGTCACAAAGGAATATGTTGCCTTTCTGTTTAACATTTTAAGAAAAAATTCACATATTAATGTCAATGTTATGTAAAAATGTAAGAACCTCAAATCTACTTAGAAAATAGCTATAATTTATTTTGTACAGATAATCACCTTAATTTCTTCTGCCAAGCTGCAACAACCATCAGGGAAAACCATTTTGTCAGTAACAGGAAGGTTGTC